GGGGGGGGGGGGGGGGGGGGGGGACACTAACTATAATGGCCTATACAGGAAGGCTCCCCCCACCCCCGTGTCTCTTTAATAAACAACTTAAAATCTGTCGCATTATCTCTATTCCGTTCAAAAGATCATTTGATTACTTATCGCTTAACTATCATAGCTATATTTACTTTTCTTAGAGGCAAAATAACCCAGAGCAAGGCAACTCACAGCATGAGGTCAGTGTAGTCAAATGAGGCTGTACACATGTATAGGTTACATATTACAATCACAATTTATATAGTAACAAACCCTCTCAGTCACTCGCATAATATAATAACACGCACTCTTTCCCTGCATGATTATTGCATACTAAATATGCAACCCCTTACTTTCTTTATTTCATTGTTAAATTTGTTTATTATTAAGTTCGAAATTCTCTATGACATCAAATTAGCGCAATAATTTGTAGAAAATTGTGATAAATGAATAAGTGGCAACAAATATCCTACCCATGAAAAATTGTATTACTGAAATCCAATTTTGCTACAAGCAAATATTTAAAAAAAATTAGAATAGCAAAAAACAACATATTTACGTACATTTATTCAGGGAGAAATTCACGAAGGACAAAACTGGATATCTCGGGTAACGACCATTTATCTTTTTCCGTTAATTTTGCCAGTACCTTTTCTTTTCTCGTCATACGTTGGGTGAATGTTGCCATTGAACTATGTAAATAAACTGCTCATTATTGTTATTTTTCATTAATGTACTAGCATTTTCCCTGCTGCTGCTCCTGCTGTAGCGGCTGTACATGTAGTCGTTCTTGTGGTATCTCCAGAGGCACGTTTGGACGCACTTGCTGCTCGAGGGAGAAAACGTCCATGAGAACGGTATGCTATTCATGTTCGTTTTTATTTTGAAAAAGAACATACTTAGATCTAGAAAATTAGCCTTTTTCTGCCAAGTTCCTAATTATACATTTGCTGCACGAAGAGCTGTCTCTCGATCGAATATTATGCTAGTCGTGACAGTGCATTGTATCTGGTTTAACCTAGGGAGTTTATCTGCTTTTATGTTTTCGTTGTGTTCTTTATCAATCTCATACCCTGGCGGCTCCATAAGAAATCGAACGAGTTCGAATCTTGGTCTAGAGGCACCCATGTCGAACGTCTCACTCCTTCTACAAGTTCCAACAAGCCCTTAAATTACACACGTACACTGTAAATCAAACTTGTTTCTAACATGTATATTTCCTGTACATTTTCTGGTACAGGAACGGATGGAAGTAATGAAAACACTGGTCGTGAACTATTTGAAAGACCGTTATTCTGCTAGATGGAAAGAACTCACCGCAAAAGCAACAGAACATCGAAAGACCGGCGATAACCCTTAAATTTCACATCAACAAGAACGTAGTTTTAAAGATCGCCTCCTTTTAACAATATACTGGTAGATGCATATATGGGTGTCTTTGATTTGCCGGTTTCTTTCATGCAAGTAAACCCTGGCCAGAAAAGAAGCTGCAACAGTTGCAAGGGCATCTTCTTCTTCTTATTTTTTGTTAATATAAGTATTTTGGTCGGTTTATTGTGGTTTGTTTTGGTTTCCGTTATTCTTTTGCAGATTTGTTTATTACCATATATTTTTTCCTGAGGAAAAATCAGACCTAAGCGCAAAGTAATACAAAGTTAGTTTGGTAAACCTCTCTACCAAATTCTATGAACGAAACTCTAGGAAATCTAGGAGGAAGTTTGTGTTGTTGCCCAGCAACCATGACTTCATAGGAGTATAGGACTTCGTTAATAGAACCAGACCATGCGTGAACTTTTGAACTCAAACTTCAAGCTTATTATCCCAGTAGGAAAGTTTTAAGTACCACCATCACGATTTAAAAGATCTGTGGAGAGTTAAGTACATTTCTATATAACCGTTTTGAGCACCAGCCTGAGATTGCGGCCGAGTAGACGAATCAGGAACAAACTTTACCTTCAGTCAAAACTAGGTACAAATATATCCATTTTTAGTTTATAGTTTGGCGTTTATGCTGAAACAGAGCGTTAAAATAAACTTCATGGTCGATTTTTATTATAGACGATTTATGTTGTCGTTCACAATTATTAACTAGCCGACTAATCGCAACGATTGTACACAGACAAGTTTTTTTCTGTACAAATTAACCCAGTAAAGGTCAATCTTCTCAACCAGAGGTTAATGGCGTGGGGTGCCAATAGGTAATATATCAAACACAAGGGCCCGTGTTTCATCACATTTCCTGACACCAAGAAGAGACTCACATGGGAGTATCTTTTAAAAGGACTTCGGGGCGTATGTAAATTAGACACTGTCTTGAGTGTTAAACGAAGAAATAAGATCGCAAACAACCATACTAACTGGGAGTCTTGACGAGATTTTACTGATAGCAGAGATCTGACATTTAGAATATGTAACAAGTATATACCATGATGGCCAAGCCAATGAAATTACACTATCCAGTGATTCAGTTTTTAATAATTACTGATAACTGAGAAACCAGCTGAAACTCTTACTGATCGCCGAGAAATAGCGGCAAATTTCACCGATAAGCGATATAGTACCACCCCAATCCAGACCTCCACTTAAAGATCGTATATACCAACCACGGTCACCGGTTTCCAGAGTAATATATCAAACGCTCGTTACATTTTGACGAAAGATACGCTATAGACTAGGAGTTTCCGTAAACATTTCTCTAGCATACAACCGTTTACCTAGAATTTCGAATATGATTGTTCGGATATACCAACCACGGCCGGTCGCCGGTTTCCTGAGTAATATATCAAACGCTCGTTACATTTTGACGAAAGATATGTTATAGACTAGTAGTTTCCATAAACAGTTTTCTAGCAAACAACTGTTTACCTAGAATTTAGAATATGATTGTTTAAAGTTTTAGAATCGAAATCCTTTTCAGACGATGATACGATAGAAACTACGTAGAAAATGTACAGCCAGAGCCAAACTAGAACGGGAGTCGCCGAGAATTGCATCGAACGTCAATGAGTTGTGCGTTGGTTTCTGTTTAACCTCGGCGAGCTTGAGCCAAGAAAAAAGGAGAGAGAATTGCACGTGAAATTGGGGGAAAACGTTCAACAGTTTCCCGTTTTTCAAATGAACACACTCACAAGACTCGCCAAGTGTTAACTAGAGAATATGAAGATTGCAGGGTAAGCGAGAGCGCCAGTGTGGACTACGTGCTTCAGTCAAATCTCGTTCCCATTTGGCTCGGGCTTAAGGCTATATAACCTTCATTCATTCTTTCTTCAAGGAAATAAATAATAGCTTGTGTACGCAGTTGTTGTCACGTTGTTTTAATCCTATTTTAAATTGTTGTTTCTCTCCGAGGTTCATATCGAAAAGGACAACTTGCAAGTATCACATAATTTCACTGCTGTTCTCATTCACGTAAGGTTATTTATAAAATCGGATCTGCGTGCTCTTGCAGCAAACACTCAATTGATTATTCATGCCCCCCACCCCCTACGTGATTCCCAGAACCTTGTATACGCCCGTTACATGCACATCTCGCTGTTCTCGCACGTCTACTCTACTCGACGTCTAAAGCAAGTTTCCCTACAGTGCAGTATTACAGAGCAAGTCTTTGATATCGTAGTGTGCACGGGTTGTCATGGCAAATAATCCGTATTCGTCTCAAGTACGCATAGGACCAGCATTATAAGGAAGATATAGCTACCCTTTAGAGTCCAAAAGAAGGCAGCCGCCCGCTTCTGCTTTAACAACTATTAACCACAGGCGTGTGATGAAATGTTTAGGGCTTTAGGACGGGATACTCATGATGGCCCGGCTAACTTGATGGGAAAAGTAAGTCACGAAAAACTTCACCGGTGTGAAAGCAGATCAGCATCTTATCCCAGAATGAACACTAAAGATATTTTTCATTTTTCTTTCTCCACGGACCATTAGAGAATGGAAATTCCTTTACAGCCGAAATGGATGATTCAGACTCTATTGACATTTCTAAATATAAATTATCTTACATAGTTTGTACCATTATACCCAGGATTCCCCTTAATTTAATCTTTAAAAGTTGGTGAGATGTCGTTAAGGACATTATCAATTTACTAAATATTGATGTGAAGTATAAATGTCTAACTTGATGTACAAATTGCTTTGCTTTTTTCATGCTCGGAAATTTAGTTGAAAGCTCTCGCTTTGCATTGCATATGTCCGACCTTGCATTTCAAAATCAATCTAATTAAACTGAACACTAAAAAGCTATTTGCCTAGTCATTATCTTGTCTTGGTAACATGACGTTTTACGTAATTAACTGCTCTTGTTGTCGTTGTTATTTGAGTTTTATTTTTTTTTTAACCGCTTCCTTAAAAATGTATTTGTCATTTCAAATGTCTTTAAATAACTGCTACTAAAAATTTGACCATTGCAAATTCTCAACCATAGCAGTTTTGCTTAACTTTGTAACGTGCAATTAAAGTATATATTCTTTGATATTTGTGGAAATAAAAATACACTTCGTAGCAAGCTAGTACAGAGTGTCACAAACTTGACGCTTAATCTAAGTAAATGCTTTGTATTCTTACAAGGTTAGCTACCGAGATAGTATCGTTAATACTCGTGAGTGCGCCGTTCAATTCCACTGTCAGTCCAATCTTAGGGATTTGGGGGAACACAAGTCTTCTAAGTGTAAACTTTGTTGCTGTGGGAAAGAGAATATGCAATGAAATTTTAAAGATTGCTTTGAAGTTTAAGCATCTATTCGGGTCAAAGTCATGAGTGCCAGCACGCCACGAACTAACATCGGTATAAGAACTCACTGACAAACAGAAGTAAAGCTTAACCTGAAATGCAGAGAATTAATTAAACAGAGGAGAGAATGTCGAGCAACTAGTCTAGAAAGGAGACAGCGTGGCCGAGTGGTCAGCACGTAGGACTCGCAATCTAACGGTCCCGGGTTCGACCTCCGCTCTGACAACTAGCTGGATTTGTTTCACGATAGCCACGAGTTCAAATCCTCGGCCACGCTTGTAAATAGCCAACTGGTTTGCCTCCGGCCAGTTGGGATTCTAAACAATGTTATGTTCAATTTAAATAATTTGTTCCAGTGGTTTGCTCGGCCCCACTAGACTTTATGCTATAAACACTGCCTAGGGTAAAGAAAGGTTATTATAAAGGTTATTACAGTACAAAATGATTTCGCAAACAAAGAGCTCATAGCTACATTACCAATCATTCACAAGTGGTCTTCTCTCGTCACCTCCGTCAGTCTGAAATGAGATGTAGCAAATGTCATGATTCAATCTGCCCAAGGAGCTACATTGTATGGGTGAACGATGCACATTCTTCGAGGAAAGGTTTCCTTTCTTTACCGCGTCATTGTCAAAATTCAACAGGACGGTCGTATGTAGAAAGACCGAACTATTTATCACTTATAAGTTGATAAAGGAAATTTAACCACCCTAGCCTACCTCGTTCCCAGGTTTCCATATATTCGCTACGGCGCAACCTCGTTCCCAGGGTCTTTAGTCTCGTCTCTCATCGAGATGAGATTGTTTAGAGACCCTGGGAACTAAGTTGCGCCGTAGCGATCATAATTATGGAAACCGGCCTTTAGCGAAGCTGTAGTTTCGAGCGATAGCCTTCCGTCAGAGCTAAGAAGGCGATTGTCGGTTGTATTAATAGAGGGAAATGGTTATGAAAGCTGGCAAAGTTCTTTGTTGTATGTTATTGTTGGCTATTTTGGGGGTTGACCCTGCACAAAAACTGGCAAACTACAAAAGGTGGTTGCAACTAACCAACAGAAGCATTGCGATTATATAATTCATGCATAGTCAATGAACATAAAACAAAAGATGTGCAAGGTCAAGGACAGACCTTCCAACATAAATCTTAGCTTGTTTGTTTTCTCCATTGATGTTTTGCAGACTTCTTAACCATTCCCTCTATTAACTATGGTTGTACGTATTTATCAGTATACGGTGGTCGAGCACGGAATAACGCTACCGGAGAACGCATAACAACAGAAAATGCACAAATGAATTAGATAAATGATCAACGTTCTCATTCATTTTTGTGTTAGCTAATGTTTCCTCCAATAACGTAAAACCTCATAAGTAAGTTCTTTGGCCAAAGGTTTAATAAAGGTACAGTATCTACCTCGTTAATAAGACACATTTCGATGCGGCCTTTCCTTTTTCTGCAAGTAAACAACATCAATCCAAGTGCCACAAGTATGAACAGGGCGCCCAATGCTATCATGAGATACTCCACCACTTTTGTCAATGTGATGGGAAGGTACACTTGGTGACGGAATTCTGCAGCTTTGTCTTTGCTGATCAAAGCACTCTGTAAAAAGTGAAAAAATAAAAATCGAAATGTTCAAATTGTAAATATGCGGACCACAGCATTACCTTGAATTACCCCAGAGTTTCATGGATATGCAAGACATTTACAAATGAGGACCGCATGTCAAGCTCCCCCCCCCAAAAAAGCATCATAGAACGATCAAAAACTACGAGGCCAGGAACTATCAGATAACAATTACTGAATAGACCGTCTGGAACTACAATCCCGGACAAAAGTAATTGGGACAGTTGAGCTGGATCACGTACATGTATCCCCGATCCCCCCAAATCAATGTTGCTTGCTTCGTGTTCCAACTTTTTTGTCTGGGATTGTAGCTTGCCACTGAGGTTCAACGGGGAGTCTGTTCAAATGCACATGAATTAAAAACGTGAAGTAACTAAAAATATACAGTTTTCTTATACCTCTTTCAATTTTCCCCAGTCTATTTCCATCCTTCCCCTCCCCCAACCTTTCATCGAACACGTGTGCTTGTCAATTTTGAAGTTTTTCTATTCTCAGAAACCAAACAATTTACTGAGGTTCTCATGATCAACATAACGGCGCAAACTCTTACTGGGAGAGATGTAACAGACGAAAGTTACTTTACCTCGTTAGCAAACATAACGGGTAGGAAGACTTGCTTAAATTTCCCATTGGTTTGACTGCGAATAGAGCAAAATAACAAATAAATTGGCGCACAAGACTTCGGCATACTTAACAAAGCGAAAATATTAAAGTGCACTCTAAATTTTACTTACGATAAAATATCCACTGGCTTCAAATCAACGTTGATCTGAATTCTTTTAGCAGCACGCATAACAATGCCAGTTATCTATTCAAAGTAGAAAAAACAAAGAAAATCAAGTTTAGTTGCACACGGTTTGTGTGTAGAGCAGGTGAACAATGTGCCGCCGCTTGCATCAGAGCTTACATGTACAGAAGTAGCGCACAAACTTCAAACTAGAAGTTCTCTTGGCAATAGAAACCCTGGCAGGACGGTTTCGTTTGTAGATTGAGCTTGATAGAACCAACTGCATTATACCCTGGGTACGAAAGTTCGCTTCAAAATTAACTACATAAATCGTTTCTTTCTCGCAGGGAGTACGTCCCATCAAAATAGAGGTCGAGCAAAAAATAAATTTATGGACGGCTTCCTGTTTCGTGGCGGCCATAGTGAATTTTAAATGCGCGGTCATCGGGTGCGAGCTCTGGAGCCGAAACGTTACGCAGTTAACAACAAACGTAAAGACACGCAATGAGCTAGCCAGTGTGAACTCAAAGCAAGTACATGTTACCGAGGCCAGGCGGGAGAAAACGAGTGTGACCCAGTCACGATTAGTTCAGGGTTAGGAGGTCCGAGTTTTGAAACCAATCAAAGAGGGAAGTAAAGCAAAACCAGAGCGATTCAGGATTACTTTTGACATCAAATTGAAAAGAACTCTTAATAACAACTAGTCAAATGAAATCCTTCCTTCTTTGGTTTATCCCTTTACTTACTGGCTCAATGTCGACGTATGTTTCGTGCGCACGTTTCGTCGGGTGGAGTCCGTGGACTGCTTTCACCAGAGACTTGTTGCCTTGATAGAAGTGAGGAGGCGACATAACAACAGGAGGGTCTAGGAAATGTCCAAAATAATTGATTATCTAATACATAACAATAAGAGTCCGTCGAAAGGGGGTGGGGGNGGAAGGGGTTAAGCATCAAGTAGCAGCTTAAAGGAGCTAAGTCACTTTACCCTCCTCCGCCCCCAAAATTGCGATAATGAGCTCCTCATATTCACATTGAGCTTTCAAATAACAAAGAAATTCTCTCTTCTTCTTTCTTCTCTTCTACTAAGAGCGGCAGTTTTGAACCTTTTGACATAATAGTGTTTTCAAAGACTTTTGATGTTCATATTATGAGAATTCCATATCGTTTTAACTGAAAGACAACATAGTTACCTCTTGGGAGACGTTGCTTTCAAAATTAAGACCCCTCCACACTCCCCGTAAATAAGCCTATCCAAGAAGGTCTTTCCAACAAAAGGTAAGTCCAGGATTTGTAAGGCTTAATATAACAAGAACTTACTGTACTCTGAAGTCGAATCTGAAAGGTCAACTTCACTTACTTAATGGCTGGCAACGGCTGATATTTAGCAAACCAGTTGGTAGGCACTTAGGTACACAGAAGCCTTTGTTAGGAGGATACAGGTCACCGCTTAGGTAAAGTTCATCTGGACCCGTGAAGCGGTACAGTTTAATGTCCCTAAAAGTGACTTCTGACTCGTACACAAAATAGAAGGATCTGTAGGATGAAATGAAAATACTTCATGTTACGTAAAGAGCCATTTCTCTCCGATGATGAGCTGAAGGTACACACTTAGGGACACGTCAGTTGCAGCGACAGTTTTCCTCGAGTGACATGCCAGCTTTTGCAAAAAGTTTTGTTGGGGGGACGACAAGTTCTGTTGTTGTCCCCGCAACATGCTGCATGAAACTGAAACGGCTTGAATTCGTGAGTCAGGAAGCAAGACAAAATGACCTCAACTGAATTTTACATGTCACAATCGTGTGCACTGCTATTGCAAACTGTCCCGCTACAACATAGCCATTAAGCGATCCGCTTCGGGTGCACCAGCTTGCGTGCTGTCCCTGCAACATGCGTCCTATAGGTACACACGAGGGGGCTTATTGTCAGTCCCCGCTTCAAGGCCCCGCAACATGTTCCCTGTGCCGGCCTTAGAGCTCGAAACATAGACTGATTGCGTCACCTTCCCGCTGATGCGGTACAATTGAAAAGGCTTGTCACTACCACTTTTTTCGCTTTGTATCAATTTTGTTTTCATTTTTTTTTTTTTTCACTTCAAAATCACCAAAACTTGTGTGATAGACTTAGCAGCCTCAAACTCAATTCGAAACATACACTGTAACAAATACACACTACTGAATCACATCCAGATATCTGGGTTCAGGGGCTGGCAAGGGTTATTAAGTATGTCGTGGTCTTGGACAAGATACTTTACTCTCACAGTGCTTTTTATGCACCCAGAAAGAGACAAAGCACTAGTAAATTGGCAACTTAGAACAATAGTTGTATAAAATTGGTTGGGGTAATTAACTTGCGATGGACTGGCATCCAATACAATTGCTGGCTTCATGGCATAGAAACTAAAGTAAGTGTTGACACCAATGACCTACAGAGCTTATAGGATCACCCACATGTACACTGCAAAAGTTAGAGGTTGTGCTCAAGATATTTTTTACCTGCAAACTTCGGGGGAGAAAACATAAAGCGTATCTTTTTTAGTAACACCTGGTGAGAACTGAGTACCGTCTGCAAATATAGAACAAAATTAGTAAAAACATCTCTACTGCACCTTTTTCATTTAGCATTCCTTCAAGTTAATAGAAAACAATCCAAACTAATGCCTATTGCTCATACCATAAATTGGTTAATAATTATTATGAATGTGCAAAATACCTGTTCCATTAATCATGTTTGTATATTTGTCACTCCACCATGTTAAATGACTGAAATTGAAGAGGGAAAATGGGTTGGTCTTTAGGAACAACAAACAAATGGGAAATATTATGTAAGTTACCATGCAGCGTCAAGTTGCAGCTAGATATAGTGATGTACAGTTTTTATGAAACAAGAGGATGAGCAAGGAAAAACATGAAGGGAATCAAGGATTTTAAAATTTTAAAAAGAAGGAAAATAAAGATTATTGTTGTTATTGGATTACAATTTCTTTAATAATGACGATATTTTTGAGATTGATTCACTAGTATGGTGAATACCACCTCCTTAAAGCATGTACATGGCTGCATGGTTTCATAATAAATTATGCAACTCCAGGATTCATGTACAGTGTATTTTTATCCATACCCACCGACTCCAAGGATGGCCAACGGAAATTCCAAGGGGGAGGAGGAGGTTTCAACCAGCATTAAAAAAGGACAGTATGGAAAACTGGAAATTCCAGAGCAGTGATGAGAAGGTCTGAGAAGGGCTGTAGATACACGTAGTTTGTGCATGGAACAATGCAAACCATTACTTAGTACTAAAATAGTTGACACTGACTACAAGTGGAAACATAAGGTGTTAAAATACCAAAAGACCAAACTGCTTTGTAGAGTGAATACTTACGACTCTTCTCTCCACATGGTATATTGTTCAAGCTTGCTAATGTCAGTTCTTCCAGTATTGATAGCACTGATGCCATAATATGTGTTATTGTACTAAGACAATACAAATAACTAAATCAGAGCAGGAACATATTTCTTTCACATAAAATTGTTTACACTCATTTTCCTCTTCCTAAGGTACCGGTACATGTGTTTGTAAGAGTGATCAATATTAATTTCTCATTAATATTTATAATAACAAAAAACAATCAAAACTACAATTCACATGTTTCAATATCGTAAAACAAAATATCCTAACTCTCAAGTGTAGTGATGGATGTATAAGAACTAAGAGCTTATTATAACATGTATGTCAGCAAAGATAACATCCTACAGTACTGCTCAAAAGTAAATTATACATACCAACTCTCATCTTGTCTGGGAAGACAAGAGTGTCGTCTCGCAAGAATAAGTGAAGCTTATAAATTGTAGCTTAATTGGAGCTTGGGCAAAAGATATAACTCTTATTATTCTAACTTTTTCCAACAGTTTTTTGCGCAAACACAATGCACGTTTTACTCAGAGCAGGGTAAATGTGAAGAACAGCTCTGGAAAAATGACTTGGCCATCTGTTGGTCAACTGACTTGGCTGTTTGTTGGCGATTTGGTGGCGGTTTGTCGGTCAACTGTCAGCTGATGGTTGTCCAACAGACAGCCCACAATTTGATGTGTAAAGTTCTACATAACATTTTCTTACATTAAAAGTAATAATTAATTTAGCTTCTATACACTCACCTGTAATTGGATGAATGATGTCATTCCTTCTTGCCCCGGACAATTCAGATATTTACTTGCTTTAATTAAAAACTCCAGAAATGGGTCTGTATATCCCCAGAGAATATCAAAAACTGACTTCCTTTGGAACAGCTTGACTTTCAACGCAAAGGCTTCAACTTCTAATCCAAGAAAACAAACTTTATGTTCCTTTTTATAGTTTGTATTTCTTAGCCACAAAGCCACAGTCTGTGAAATGATAAATAAAGGTAAGGGTTAGTATAAGGGACTTTGACCCACTGAGCCCCGACAAAGCAGGCCAAAATTAATAGCGAAAGGTGTTGAAATTGCAAAAATATGTAGGTGAGTAAACCAGCCATTGAAATGCCTTCTCAAACTCGAGAGCAAGATCCAAAATTTTTGCTCTCTCTACTGATACACCTTTCATAATCCAAATCTATGTCTTTTCACTTTTGAGTTGTGTTCTCTTGTTTTCATGTTTATACAGTCTAGTTTAAAATGAACAAAAATCTGAAGGTTCCAGAAAAAGGATCAGTGAGCAGTCTGTCACTTGAGGACTGTATCGTAAAAAAACTGCCCAGCGTAACTGGCCATACAAAGGTAGCTCATGGAATATAAGAATTATTACATATATTGCAGAATTAACCATCAGCCTTTTTGAATTGAACTACCAGGATGCTGCCATTGTGGATTACATAATAGCAACTGACAGCTGGGCAATCATTCCACGATGGAAGGCAAAATTACACTCCTGGTCAGTCCTGTTCAATAGTTATCAGGACAAAACTAGAATATGATAATTTTACTTCCAGCAATTTAATGGTCAGTGCAATCTTTAGTCATGATTTCTGTCTAGCTGTACAGCTGTAAGTCTTGATTTTTGTCTTACCAGTAGTGGAATGTTAACAGTAACGAATGTGTCATTCTTGTCATCACAGCCTGCACAAGATGTCTCAGGATCAAAAACATACGTTCTGTTTGGCATGAATGTTACAATACTATTACTGCTGCTCCAGTTAAGCACCTCATTTGATCTTATTTCTCTGCAAAACAAACACATGATTACTTTAAACCTTCATTTCTTAACAAGATCAAGATCTTATTTTTCTTCCTAAATATACCGTTGACTGTCAGTCAGACAGTGGGATTCAAAACATTATCACAATGCACAGAAAAAAACAAATTTTAAAAAGATGTACTGGTATCGCATACACTGCATGCAAGGCAACTAGAAAAGGAAATGTGCAGTCAACTCATCTTTGTTCAAAGTGACAGTTAAAAGTGTTGCAGCTACATGGGTTGACCAAAGTTCATAGCATGGACACGTACCTGTATGAATATGGCCCCATCTGTTTCACAGTGGGAACTGCCATCCCTGCAAATACATCTTCTGGGTTTACCAAGTGGAAGACAAAGTATTGCATGTATACAGGAATGGTGGTATTCACCCATTCATTGTAAACCAAGCCACCAGGTTTTAAAGCAACTTTCTGAAAAACAAAACCAAGCACATGAAAAATAACATTTATTGCACAATATAATTTTATTTCTAAATATTAAAGAATCAAAAATAAAAAGCAGCGACATTAAAAAATGACATTTTGATGGCTCCATGCCATCATTTTCAAATTCAAATAAAATACATTATGTGAGTTCATTATATAGTGAATGTAGGTGTGAAGGTCTCAGTGCATACATGTATGATTAAGAGATAAAAATAATCAATGAATAAAAATACCAATCGTGGTGCATTTGAACTGTCAAATAGAAAGTTTTGCTTTAATGGAGTCAGATTGAGTGTTAAGTGTTGTATGTTCTTCACCAAAAACAGAAAAAACAAAAAACCAACACTTAACACTCAACCTGACTTCATTAAAGCAAAACTTTTTATTTGACAGTTCAAGCACACCACTCTTGGTATTTTTATTCATTGATTATTTTTATCTCTTAATCATATGCACTGAGACCTTCACACGTACATTCACTATATAATGAACTCACATCATGTATTTTATTTGAATTTGAGAATGATGGCATGGAGCCGTCAAAATGTCACTCTTTAATATCGCTGCTTTTTATTCTTAATTGTTTATCAAAAACCTTAGTCATTAAATATTAAAGGCCATGCTTTTCTCAGGTTGTCAAGTGTATCACCCTGCTGGTAAAGCAATGTAACTTTTTAACAGGTAACAGTGAAATGAAACTGAAACACTGACTGGAATGATGCTTAAAGTATAAGGTGGCTGGTAACAGTTTCCAGCACTTATTCAACAGCTTAACATTTGTGTACTTTAACATATCAATAGAACTCAAAAACAAGCTTGGTGACCCCCAGTTTTTAGTAGCAAATAGGGATAAGCATACAGTGTACATGTAATAACAGATGCAACTTTCTGCAAAGAAAGCACTTACTCAACAGCTACATTTGTATGTACTTTGACCTTCCAATACTACCACTGTTTATCATGTGATGACACAATATTCACATAAATGCCCAGCCATATTGGTGAACCAACAATTGTAATCTTTGTAACATAAGAGGCTACAACAATAACCTGTTAAAAACACCCCTCATTTTATCTTTCAGAGCCTTAAACTCTATAACAAACTCTGTGGTCCCCAGTTTTTATTAGCAAATTGTGATAAGCACCTAGTGTACATGTAATAACAGATGCAACTCTCTGCAAAGTTAAAAAAAAATTCTACAGAGGGAGTTCAAGGCCACCTTAATTTGTTTAAAATTTAAACCAATATTACCAATATTGTAGGATCATAATGACAAAGAGTGGTAGTATTTATCCACCAAAGTATATACTTGTAAGTGATAGAAAGAGCTGGAACTGTTTTGCACTGTAGTCAGCTAACTCCAAGGGCTTAAGGACAGTGTAAAATATAATTTAATGTTCATGTAAATACAAAATACAGTCATGAATTATAATTATTCTTTCATTTGCTGCAGGATTCCAGTTATAAAGTTCCATACACATCCTTACAAAGTTTACTAGCAAGTATAGATAGAGAGGTATTTGTTTTGCATCATTCTGATCAGGGGAGTGGGTGACACAGGATTTTTAAACCAATCCCAGAAAGTAGTAAAGCAAACCTATTTTGGACAGATCTAAATACTAGATGAGATTAGGAGTCTTCAGGATACATGCCCAATCTCCTGGACTCCCATATGGGTCTTCAGATCTCTCAGATACAAAGGAAAGCATTTTAAGTACATTTTTAACACATTTTGGTTGAGTTTTGGTGTTCAGGGGGAAAGGTTTGGACATCTGAAGCATTTTTGTGGATGGATCGGCAGAACTCTACTTTGAACAACTTTTTTTTCAGGTTTGGGAAGATAAGATTGGCAATCTTCCGGAGATAAAATTTTTTAGCTTCTCTGCACTGCCTGAAGAGTCTAGTCTCACATGCATGCAAACTGCCTCAGAGGTCAGTTCCCAAGTTTCTTTCCACAACAGCACCAGTACTCTTTAACTGATGACCACATTTGTACATTTATCTTCATGTACTTATATAGCATTAAATTTGCAGATATAACGTTTAAACAGATGTCTGGCAACCATTAGGGAAACTTGATATTTCCTATTTTATAGTCCAGTGGGGTTTCGTAACATGGATTTGTCAGAGCCCAAAGTTCGGATTTTGGTTTCGTTGCGTAATATAAATTAACAAGTCACAGATTTTCACTAGAATGTTCTTTAAAGTGGGAAAAACCAAATTAAAAGCACTAAGCTTATTCTCAGTCACAAATTTTTTTCTTCCCTAAAAAAATAATTTTCATAGTCTTCATACAAGTCTAGTTTAATTTAATCTTACGTGTACACGTCAACTTGAGCTCAACTGTGCTTGAAATTAAAGCTTAAATACTAATGCTACCCCACTAAAATACTACAGTTTAAAGTTCCTTTTTCCAAAAGGAAAAAAAAAATTCACCGTGAAAAAATATCGTTCGTCCAAGCAGCAACGCCAACGACGAAATTTCACTAATGATGAATGAAAGTACTGAAGAGAGGGTCATCCGAGAGCCGTTGCACAAAAACCCGCACGCTTTGAAAAATGGCCGAGGGAAGGTTTGCTTCTGTTTGCTCAGTTGAAGAATTTATTTTAGAACAAGAAAACAAAAATACCGCTCAAAAAACTGAACGAGACGTAAGATTGCCTGAAAGATTTTTGAAAACGAAGGACGAAGACAGAAAAATTGAAGATATTTCAAGACAGTACGTAGCTTGTTGGCATGGCTTCCTTAATTAAGTAGTAGGCATTTGACTTTATCGATTTATTATAAACACAGTAAGTGTTGTAAATTTTATAAGCTTTCATTACTGACTTAGTTGTTGCTGAAAGATTTTAACTTAGAACTATTTTTCATGCTTTTCATCGCCCCATTTGTGCAATTTGTCTACCAAATACTACTCGAAAAAATCTCAGTACCTACATGTATGAAATAAACACATTACAGCATGGAAAATGCTTTGAACGATTTTTATTCATTCGTTGATACGTATCAGAAAACTCACTCGTTCGCTGCGCTCACTCGTTCGTTTTCTAATACTACTCAACTCGTACGCTCGCGGCATTTTCCATGAAGCAGCATGAAGTAATTCCTATTTTCCAAATGTTGTTGAGTGCGCGCAATTGTGCACTCTGACAACAAGTCGACAAACTCTTCGAAGGCAGAAATGGCGATTTTAAAACCATTTATCTTCAAACCCAATCTAACCCAAATCTTGCGTGCGATCTTTTATAAAGTCAGATAAAACTTGCCTGGTCCACTTTCTCCTTGATAATTTTAGAGAAGACATCGCCAACGCGTAACACCAAGCCAGTCGCCAGAAGACAGACTCCAGAGAGAGCAAAAGCAATGATTACAGCTTTTCTACTGCAACAACCACAACATTCACGATTCGACGTCATGAGTGAAATATGCAGGAGACCTTCAAATGCAAAAGCAACTCTATAAGGTGCAGAAAGGCTATAACCCTTTGTCGAGATATACTACGTGCGACAATGTGCAATTCAATACGGAGGTGTGAAGGTCTCGTGACCAGATTATTTTCAGCCATTCTCAATCTCGTTCCGAAAATGCGGGGGCTCTGGGGACGAGCTTGATCCGTTCTCGCCCCAGGAGCCGCCTGTCCCTCTATATTTCCTCCCTGAAAACATCCATTTGTCGATCTCTAACTGTTTGACTAAAGCACCTGCAGACCCCATCAGGGTCTATCGGAGCTCTTCTTGGCTCTTCTTCGTAGACCATACTCGAGAGAACGGCGGAAATCGAGTCAAAGTAAAATGAGAAATTGAACCAGAAACTGCAAGGGACCGCATACGATAAACACTGCCAACGTAGGATCTACAATAGATCTGGTCAGCCAAAAAAATGTATGAAGACAAACAATAAACTGCAAGGCTGATACTACGTGAAAAACGTTTCGAGACACCAACATGACAAGAACCGATAAAGTAGGATCGCTGGACAGCTGTTTCGCCCTTCTTGGGGCTCGTCAGCATTGTGTAGCGAAGATATGTTGGGCTGGCGTTACATATCTTCGCTACACAGTGCTGACGAGCCCCAAGAAGGGCGAAACAGCTGTCCACTGTTGCGATCCTACTTTATCGGTACTTATCATGTTGGTGTCTCGAAACGTTTTTCACGTAGTATCAGCCTTGCAGTCTATTGTTTGTCTTTAAAGTAAAATGCCTACTAGAACCTGAGAACAGTAGTATCCACATGTTCGCGAGTGTGTCGTGTCCAATACGCGAATTACGCCGAGGCCTAAAAGGGTCACTAAAGGATGCAAACACGTACGACGCGTAGCAGAGTATTTTTGACCAATATTGAAGTATTTGGAAATGTGGTAAAGAGTATACATCATCTCATTCAAAATCAAGCTAACGGAAAAAAACAAGAAATGAAATCCTTACAAAAATATACAAATAGATCAGACGTCCAAACCACGGCCATGTATGTATGGCTACGATTCTTTTATTTATTTATTATTTTTTTTGTGTGTGTGTGTGATGAAATAATTTTACGTCTTTATATACAACACATTAAAAAAAATAATTAATTGGTAAACCTTGGAATGTTCAACGTTCAGCCTAGTCTCTAGCCTGCGTAATCTCCTTCTGACTAGGCAACTGTGTCATGTCAAAAACAATAAAGAAAGTCGTCACTGAGGGAACATGTTAGGGACCGGTCATAAAGTACAGAGGAATGGGCTATGAAAAAATATCTTTTAAGGACTGTTTTTCAGTGGCCCACCTCCGAGATATTGAAAAACATTGGGACGGCCTATCCCTGGAGTGGAAGAGAAAAACTTGGTGGCTGACCCCCACAAACGAAATCAGTAATGTGGATAGGTACATAGAGTCAGAATATCCAAAAAATCTCCTAGATCGAAATGTTGTAATTGAACACGTCGTCCCACTCTTACACACTTTGAACAGAATTCATCTTATATGCCATCATTCGCTTCTTCAGTTCTTCTTCTTGTTCTTCTTGTTCTTCTTGTTCTTGTTCTTG